AGAGGGGAGCCAGTGTGGGTTTTAGGAGAATCCCTCAGCCCGCCCGCGGTGGAGGTGATTACTGTGGTTCTTCCTAGTTACAGGTAGCTTGGGATCCCTCGGTGAACAGGGCGGGTCTGGATCTCCGCCCTCTTGGCCTGGCGCTTTAGTGTACTAAACAGGCGTCTCTGGGTGGGCCCCCGAATGGGGGCAGGAGCGGTGATGAGGGCTGGATGGAGTCTTTTGGTCTTGGGGTTTAAGGATGGCAAAAGGGAGGCATCCAGGAGAACACCAGGATTCTGGTTTAGGAGACTAGGGTATGATGGCGCCACCTCTGAGATGGGGAACGCAGAGGAAGACAAAGTTTGGGGGAAAAGAGGATGAGTTTGGTCTGGCTGTGTTGAACGTGGGCCCTGAGTGGAGATATCCAGGAGGCCACTGGATGTTCAGGTCTGGGGCTTGAGAGGGAGTTTGGGTTGCAGCCGCAGATCGCCTGGGAGTTGGCTAATCCAGAGGGCAAGTGCAGTGAGAAGAGAAGGAGGCCCAGGCCTGGGACCCAGGAGCCCCAGCAGTTAAGTGGCACCAACAAAGGATGCTGGACAGGAGCAGGGATGCAGGGAGCTCCTGAGAAGCCACAGAAGAGATGGCGGGTGGCACTGTATTAATTAGCCAGTGCTGCATAACAAATTATCCTGGAACCTAAGAGTTTAAAACAATTTCCATGTATTGTCTCAGTGTCTGTGGGTCCAGGACCTGGGCATGGTTTAGCTGGTTGCCTCTGCCTCAGTGTCTCCCACAGTGGTGCACTCAAGGGGCAGGTGAGGGCTGCAGGCTCACCTGAAGGGAGGATCTGCCTCCAGGCCCCTCATGTGGCAGGATGTAATTCCTCCTAGGCTGCTGGAGAGGACGGTTTCACACTGGCTCTTGGTTGGGGCCTCCTCTGTTCCTCGTCATGTGGGCCTCTCCATAGGGCAGCTCAAAACGTGGCTTTGCTCAGAGGAAGTGAATGAGAGGGTGAGAGAGGCCATACAAGCAGAAGTGATGTCTTGGAAGTGACATTCCATCCCTGTTGCCATATTCTGTTTGTTAGCAGCAAATTGCTAGGTCTAGCCCACTGTCAAGGGGAGGGGATCATTGGGGGCCATCTCAGAGTCTGCCTACCGGGGGTAGATGGGGTCAGTAGGTGACAACCTGCCAAGTGGTCAAGTTTGGTAAGGACTAGGAGCCATTGGTGTCCCTGGCTATGCCAGCTTGGTGTCGGACACCATGTTGGAGTGTGTTGAGGAGCAGGCTGCTGGGAGGTGAAAAGGGTGAACATGGACAGCTCTGTGGCGAAGCTGGGCTGTGGGAGATGGGGCAGTAACAGAGTGGGATGTGGAGCTGAGGAAGGACTTTTCTTGAGAGGAGAGATACTTGGGCATGTTTAAATGCTAATGAGAGGGAGAGTAGGAGAAATAGAAAGGTGGAAGACGGTGGGGTGCAGCCTCTCATGTGGCCCCCAGTGACCTCTGCCTTCTGGCATTCACACCTTGGCATAATCTCCTCCCCATTGCACAGAGTTGGTCTGTGTGACCAATAGCCTATGACAGAGTGATTAGATGTCACTTCAGAGATTAAGTGATCTGTCAGGTCACTCACTGTGAGGGAAGCCAGCTGCCATGTCCTAAGGACACGCAGGCAGACCTGTGACGGGCCCATGGAGTGAGGAACCAAGGACCCCAGCCAACAGTCAAGTTGGACCCAGTCTGGGTGCATGTCATCTTGGGGTTTTATTTTTCTCACATCAGTAGGCATCCAACACTGAACATCATCAAGGACATGTCTGCTTTGGAACTTCTGGTTCCACCGTCGGCAGCCTGTGGCTTTCATCCTCGAAGTCTCCATGTGGCTGCTCCCCCTCAGGCCTTGCATCTGACCCACATAATGAGCCAGCTCATCTCTGAGCAAACTCAGCCTTTCCCCTCCTTTGTCAGCGGTCACAGGGACCTCCCAATCTGCCATTGGTGTGAATGAGGGAGAGGCACTAGTGTGACAGTGGTAGATGATATGGGTCTGCAACGGACCAGCAGCCATCGCACTATGCATGGTTGCTGGGCCCACCTGAATTTACCACTCAGTGGGCCTGATAGAACCCAGTTCATGAGGAACAGCTCTGGCCTCCTGGTCACGTGATGCTCCCTGGTCCTCTCTACCAGGGTCTGGTAGCTGGTGGAGTTGCTTTTGAATTTGGGTATAGTTCTCTGCGGTAGAAGGCCTGGCCCCTCTCTAGAACCCTAGGGGTCTACACTGTGGTTTTCCCCTTAGGGCTTGCCATAAATTTTATACAGCATCTTTTCCCTCTACCATTAGAGGGCTTTTAATATCGTAGGGTCTGAGGGTCCTGTCGCCTCTGGGACAGCTCTTTCCCGCTTTGAGCCTCACTCAAAGCTGGAAGCCTTTTATGTCACCCAGAGATATATCAGTCAGAGCCCCATTTCCAGGTGTAGAATATGCTGCCTCCAGAACCCAAAGGGTGGATTCCAGCATTTTGCTCCCTTTCCTGTGATGGGTTGTGTAAGATACAGTCATTCGTCCTTTACTTTAGAGAGGATGTCCTGGTATGCCCCAGACCACTGGACCTCCACAGGTTTCACTGATGTGGCAAGCTCCCAAATCTTCATAGTTTATCTTCCACTCTCTGGAGCACATATGTCTCATCAAGGTTTTCATTTACATGTTACTTCTTGTTCATCCAGCCAGATTAGCAGGATGTCATCAATATAATAAGTCAATGCACTGTTCTGCAGAACGTCCAGATGGCCAGGGCCCTTCAGACTATGTATATTGTGACATCAGGTGAGAAAGTGACCATAGCCTGGGGCAAGACCATGAATGTAAACGGCTGTCCCTCCCTGCAAAGGCTCCCAGCTCCTGATAGGGCTGGTCAGATCGCAGGCCACCCACAGGTGCCTGAGCCCTGTTGATCTGGGCTAGCAGTCACACCAGCACAGCGGCTGCAACTGGGCTCCTGCTTGGTTGGGTTTGCAGCAATCCACTCCCATTTTCTGTGTTTTTTTAAGCGCAGACTGAGGAATTAAATAGGGATATGGTGGGGTCCACTTCCCCTAAGCTTTAGGTCTTTGAGGGCGCCACTAACCTGCCATTTTCCCTGGTATGTGATGTTTTTTATTTACTATCTTGGCTGAGGCAGGTGGGTGGTGGGAAGTTTCAGGGGCTTCTGCTTCACCTTCACCTCTATGAACTCTCAGCACACAGACCGAGGAACCACAGTGGGCACTCTGCCGACTACTGACCGTGTCTGTCCTGGTGGCCTGCTCAGCATTCCTGGCTGCCAGTTTTCCCTCGATGGTTAGGAAACGATTGTACCCCTTTGCTTCTCACAGTGGGGCAGTATCATCTTACCTGCATTATTTTTGGATCCCCAGTTCTGTCGCAGCATCTCCTGCTGTCAGCCATGGCCTAGAAAGGATGACCGCCCCCAGCCTGGTGTAGGGCGAAGCACAGAACTTGGGAGTCAGATGTGTGTTTATTCAACCACCATGCATTGAACTTGGCGGATGCCACACTCTGTCCTGTGTGCAGGGGATACTGTGGTGAAGAAGTCACTGCCCTGCCCTGAAGGGAGGGCTGAAATAGGTACCCTCGGTCACTCCACAAACAAAACCCCACAAAAACCTACATGTGCGGCCCCAAACTGAGAGTATAAAATGTAGAAAAGCAAACATCTTCCCTGCAGGACGTCTGTACTGTCTCAAAAAACATGAAAATAAAGATGAAGGGTGATCACTCAGCCTGGTCACAGATATTTCCTTTCTCCTCCTTCTCAGCACGTGGTAGGAGGGACGTTTCCTGCCCCCTGAGGGTAGGAAGTGGCTTATGACTTGTTTTCACCAACTGAATGTGAGCAGGAGCGATGCGGGTAACTTCCGGCAGAAACTCTAGGGTGACCCCAACTCCCCACAGCCTATCCATGCAGGCACACGTCGGGGTAGACCCAGCCTTTTCTGGCTAATACAGAAATTGTGCATCCTGACCCCGGGCCAGGCTGGCACAGTCCCAGATAAACCAAGACCCACTGGTCACAAGTGGTTGCTTCCTAACCTTCGCCTTTCTAGAACCGGAGCTAGGCAAAGAACAGGGTCCAGTCTCATTCCGGCGCAACTGTATTCTCACAGGGTGTGTGTCTTGGGGTTACTTCCGTAAAGGGGTGTCTACAATTTATGCCAGGCACTGAGTCAGCTTCAGGACATTGCAGGGAATGTTACGAGCAAGGCTCTGTCCTCATGACACTGACATTCTAGTGGGGCGAGGCTGATGACCAACTAGGAAGCAAGCAAATGAACATGATCATGTTAGAGAGTGACGGTGCTCTGAGGAAATAAAAGGGCATCATGTGACAGAGACTGAACAGCTACTTCAGCTAGGGTGTCAAGGAGGAGTCATGTGACAAGAAGCAGCCAGGCAGGGGACAGACGCAGAGACCCGCAGGCAAGAACAAGCTTGGTCTATTTAAGGAAGAGAAACAGAAACCAGTGTGGGTCGAGCCTGCTGAATGAGGAGGGCGTGGGTGGGAGATGAGGACCCAGAGGCAGGAGGGACCAGACCGTGCAGGGCCAGCGTGAGAAAGGCTAGGAGTGAAGACAGCATAGCTGTCAGGAGGAGCAAGGACAGGGGCAATCAGGGAAGGCTTCCCAGAGGAAGTTGCCTGAATTGTTGACATTAGAGATTGGCGAGGGGCAATTCAAACCCTGGCCGTCTCGGCTTTGTCACTTCCTAGTTGCGTGGCTTTGGGCAAGTGATCTAACCTCTCTAAGTCTCAGACTCCTCCTCTGTAAAATGCGACTAATCATAACCGCCCTGCGGGGTTGTTATAAAATTAGCGCCTGACATCCGGACGGTGCGCTTTGATGATGGACGTCCAGGCCGCGCGGCACGCTGGTGGAAACGCGTCGTTCCGGGGGAGGGGTTGTCCCGATCCTGCCTTCCTCACCCAGGTGACCAGAGGTCACCCGGCCGGCCTGCCGCTGCGGGGCGCCCGAGGCGGCGGCACGCGAGGCGGCAGTCCGCGGAGGCTCCTCCCCGGACGGTCAGGCCGCAGCCCCGCTGGGAGGAGGAGCACTGGCTGGGGCGAGCTGGTCGGTTGACAGCTGCTGACAGCTGGCAGGCGCGGGGGCCGAGAGGTGGCCGCGTCCTCAGTTCGTGGGTCCGCGATCCGGGCCGCCTGCCGGGTGAGAATCGCAGCTGCTTCCCTTCCCCGCAGCGGCTTCTCATCCCCCAGTGCCTGCGTGCCGTCTCTTTAAGAGGTCAGCTGGCCGCCCCGCCTCTTGGGGACCTGATTGGCTCCTTCCGCTGCTTGAGCCCTCTTTTTGGTGTAACTCCATTCCTATAGGCTACCGGGGGCTTGGGGGGGCGGGCCTGAGTGCGGCAAGTAGGGACTGTGGCTGTTTTTGTAGTTTTGCTGGACGAAAAGGACGCTCCTGTCTTCCGGGTCGCCGCTGCCAGGAAGGACGCAGGGTGTCCTGGGGGGCAGTGAGCCCGGCGCGCCGACCGCGTCTCGCCCGCCCTCCTACCCCCATTTCCGCGGAGCCGGCCGCCCGCGGTTCTTGCGCGACGCTCCCCGCCGCCTGTGCCGGGCCCCCGCCGCCTGTGCCGGGCCGCGCCGCGGCGGATGGGCGGTCCGGGCCTCAGGTAAGGGGAGCGCCAGGGCCGCGCCGAGCTGACGGCCCGCCCCGGCCTCCGCGCAGAGCAGCCCCGGGGAAGCGTCGGCGGCGGAGGGCCGGGCGCGGGGAGGCGGGGCCGGGCCGCCCGGGGCTGTGCGGGGCGCGGGCCCCCACTCGCCCCGGACCGCGGACGCGCCGCCGCTGGCGCCTGGGCAGCCGGGAGGGGCGGGAGGGGCGGCGCACGTGCTGCGGCTGCGGCGCCGCGGCCCCGGTTCCCCGGCGCGTGAGCGCATCTCCGTGGCCCGGGGCTCTGCTTCCACGGGCCCAGCGCACGGAGGCTGGGGAGTGCCGGCACCTCCGGCCCCGCGGCGGGCACGGACCCCTGCCCCACTCCGCAGAAGGGCTTGGCTGCCCCGTGCCCACGTCGGGACGTTCCGCGGGGGACTGCCTGTGGGCCGGCCGCTGTCCTGGGGGCTTGGGTCGTGAGCGGGTGCGTGGACAGCCAGTAAGCACGCCAACGCGCGGTCGGGGCCGCTGCGGACGGAGGCCGGGGCTGCCGGGAAAGCCCGGGGGGACGAGCTGTGCCTTCTTCGGCGAGGTGGCCGGCGCGAGGACGAGGCTAGGGGAAGAGCAAGCACCAAGGCCCTGAGGGAGCTTGCGGGACAGGGAGAAGGCCGGGGCTGCAGAGTGGAAGGCAGCAGGCGGAGCAGTAGGCAGGGGTCAGATCAGGTTGGGCCTTGAAGGCCAGGGGGCTTCCTCCTGGGGCTTCCACCTGGGCTGCTGACAGGTTGCTAGGAGTGGCCTCTCTGGGATTTCCGAGACTGAAGGATAAGGCGGGCGGCTTCTGTCTTCTGGAGCCTCCTGTTGTGATCCCAGGCTTTAAAAGCCCAGCCAGCCCCGAGGGTTGGGAAGCACCGTGAAGAAGTGTGGCCTCTCTTCTGCTCAGGGCTGCTGTCTTCCCAGGGTTCCCGCCCAGTAGCCCTGGGTGGAGTTGGTCAGTCCCACAGATGCAGAGAGGGTGGGTGGTGGAGGCCCAAGGTGTGGGTGGGAAAATTGCCTCTGAAATGTTAATGAGATCAGGAGAGCCCCTCCCGGGTGGAAGAAACAGTCTGTCCCAGTTTCGCTGGTCCCGAGAGGCTTGGTGTTGCCCAGGGCACTCACCTTCTGGGAACTCCTCTGCGGGTCCCCTTCCCTCTGGTCTGGGCTCCACCCCTTCCTCCCCTGCCATCGACCAGCTTTCCCACCATCCTGTGTCCTGAGCCTGAAGACCCCTGTCTTCTCTGTTGCTCTCTGGGCTCCGGCCCCCAAGGCCAGGAGCTCATTCTTGCGGGGAGGAGAACATGCAGCCAGTGACTTAACCCCTCTGTGGCTCTCCCGTCCTTTGTACAGTGGGGAGAGGCGGGTGTGATGGGGTAAAGCGCTCGGCCCTGTGTCTTGCTTCAGTTATTTTGTAAGCTCTGACACATGGTGGCAATTTTGGCCTGTCGACAGCCTCATAACTCAAGTGTGGCTCTGGGACCAGCAGAGCAGTGGCACCACCTGGGAGTGTGTTAAAAATGCGACTCTCAGCTCCCCAGGCCTGCAGGATTGGAATCTTCATGTTAACAACACTCAAGTCATCGCCAGGGAGGAGCCCAGACCCAGAGGGGGCACCTGACAAGCCCCCGACTGGGGGCCTGGGCTCTGGAGACACAGCCTGGGCACAGGCTCAGCAGGGGCCGCCCGGCTCTGAGCTCGGTACGGTGGGGACAGAAGTCTTCCCTTGCAGGGCAGGAGGGCTCAGAGTGTCCCCTGCTGTGGTCACAGAATGAGCAGGGGAACTGGGAGAGGGGGAGCAACTGACCATCTCCCCTCAGACTCCATAGCAAGCGGGTCTTCGAAAGGGGCCTGTGGGCCTGTGGACCAAATCCCTCCCCCTCACAGCCCAGCTCCTCTGGGAAGAAAAGCAGCAGTGCCCTTGGTGTGTGTGACCTTTTGTAGACATTTACTTCTCTGGTCTTGACAGCAACCTTGTTAGACGGGTGTTATTCTCCCTGTGACATGCAGAGAGGAGAAATGACTCACCCAAGGTCACACAGCAAGTGTCTGGCAGAGCCAGAAGCACAACCTAGTTCTGCCCAACTCCATAACCTATGTTTGCCAGAAGTTTTTCAGTGGTAAATTAGAGAAATCAGCCTCAAAATGCCTTAGCAGAAAGGGGAATTTGTTAGATTTTATAACTGAAAAATTCAGGAGTGTAAGTCTGGCTTCAGGTATGACTGGATCCAGGGGCTCACATGAGGATCTGTCTCCAGAATGTATTTTCATCTGCCTCCCAGCTCTGTGTTCCTCCATGTTGGCCTTATTCTCACGTGGGTCTCCATATGTGGAGTCAAAGTGGTACAGTTCTGGCTTAGTCCCCTTAGCAGTAAAAGTAATTATAGCAGAAGGCTCAGGGCTGATTCTCCTTGGCCGGGACAACGAAGCATCCTGATTGGCCAGGCTTAGATCACATGCACATTACCTGGCGTTGTGGAGGGGTAAAGTCAGCCATACCTAAACCTCATGGACAGAGATTGGGGAAGTTGGGGTTTCCCCTGAAGAAAATGGGATACTGGACAGGGAAAGCCAAGAGAAGTCCCTCTGACCACCCCCTACTCTGGGCGCTCTGTCCGGCTGCTCTGGCTCCTGCCCTGTTCGTCCTCATTGGTTTCTCTTTGCCGCTGGGGCCTCTCAGCTTCCTGTGGCTGCTGGGTGCTTGGCCTGCCCCTACCGGGGCTGCTTGATGCTCTGTCCTAGGCCAGAGCTGGGGTTGGGTTGCTGGGACCAGAAGTTTGCTCCGTGGGGAGTGGGGAGCGGGGCAGAGAGGGCTGTGGAATATCTCTCCAACTCACAGTCACTTCCAAGTCATTATCTCAGGGCCCCGAAGTCTTGAGGGGGCACACCCATTGGCCGTAAGCTCGCCTGTGCTTGGCAGGTGGCCTGGTCCACATGGCTGCAGGATGGCCGCAGTTCAGACGTCACACCTCAGCGCCACCACAGGCGCCCACAGGGGCCTTCCTGCCTTTCTCGGGGAGGCAGCTTTCCTGGGAAGGCCCCTGCCGCGGGGCACCCGGCCTAAAGCAGGTCTGCCCGAGGAGAAAGGGCTGCCCTCCCTGACTCTCACAGAGCTGCTCTGCGGGCCCTGCTGGTACAGGGAGGACTAGCAGTCATTGGGGAACTGTCCTGCGCGTCACAGGCCAGCTGGCAGCCCTGGACCTGCCCCCGCAGTCCCTTATCACAGTGGAGCACCAGGTGCCCTGCTGAGGGGTCTGGTCCTGCTCCGCCCCAGCTCCAAACCCTCCAAACTGCTGCTTATGCGAGGCTTCTGGCGCTGGGGAGGGGCCCGCCCTGAAGGCAGGGCAGCGCGGAGGGCAGCGTCCCTCACCACAGGGATGCTCCTGCCACAGCCGGGCCTGAGTCCTGGAACAAAATAGCAGCTCGTTAGTGGGGAAGAAGGGGGCAGTGTCTGCTGGGGACGCCGCCACTGGTGCCAGCCTCACCACTGCGGAATATCCAGTGCTCAGGCCAGAAACCGCGACGTCAGCCTGCCTCGCTCTCTCCCCTCCCTGTGCGTGTGTCTCGGCAGGTCTTCTTGGCCCCCTCCCAAAGTCACCCCAGATCCCTCCACCCCAGCCCACTCCGGCACTAGTCACGCTGCTGTCCTCTCGTCTGGACTGGCTCGGGAGCTCCTCTGTCTCCCTGCCCCACTCTTGCCCCACTTCAGTCTGTTCTCCATGGCAGCCAGAGCAATCCTCTGCACGTAGACATGGGACCCCGTTGTCTGCCTTCGTAAGACCTTCTCATTGCATTCAGACTGAAATCATATTGCATGTGGCCATACAGCCCCGTCTGACCCGGCACACCAACCTTTCTGATCTCACCTCCAGCCACACCTGCCTACATTTTGCCCTTGAACCTGTCTCTACCCCAGGGCCTTTGCATTTGCCATTCTTTCCTGGGTATGCTCTGTCCAGATTTTTCCAAGGCTAGCTCTGGCTGTTATTTAGATCTCAGCTCAAATGTCACCTTGTCTGACAACCCAGTCCTAAGCAGCACCCCTTTATATTCATGGAATTCAGGCTTAGCTGTTGCAACAAAGGCCAAAATAACAAGACAGAAGGTTATTTCTGTCTGTTGTATGACAGTGTGCAAAATGTCCGGGACGCACATGGGGGCCCCCTTGTGTCTGGAACCCAGACACCTTTCTTATTACTGTTATCCTCAATCGCAGGACCTCCTCAATAACAGAGTGGCTTCTGTCTCATGATCTAAGGTGGGTGCTCTTGCTCCCACCACCACATCCATGTTCCAGCCAATGGGAACAGAGATGGCACCACCTGAAATTGGCAAACCTCACTGTTCATGTCCAACTGAATAAAACTCAGTCATGGCCACAGCCAGGGACAGGGGAGCTGGGGAAGTAGCCGTTGTTCTGGGAAGCCATGTGCGAGCTAGAGTCCACGGGCTGCAGGGCTAAGGGGCAGGCTGAGTGTTGGGGCTCCAGCAGCCTCTGCTGCGTTTCTGTTGTTTCGCCCCACACTGTTTTCTTCGCTTCAGCCCTTACCTCTAGGAGGGGTTGGCTGTGTGCGTCCAGGCTCGTGCTGGCTGTCGGCCCCCGCTCCTCGGATGCAGCCCTGTGAGGACAGGCGTGTCCCTGTGCCTAGACTGTGCCTGGCTCCCAGTGGGCCCTCCCAGGCCTGTGCGGGCGGAGGAACACGGGAATGGAGGGGGGACTGGCCGCCTCTCCCATCGAAGGGAACAGAGGAAGAGCCAGCTTCTTTATTTGGACCTACTGTGTGTCAGAGTTTCTTTGTAATACTCCCCATCACCCTGGAGGTTGTTGGCATGTCCTCGTGTTGCAGTGAGGACAGAAACCAGAGCCAGTGAGCGGCCTGAGCCCCAGGTCCTGGCCCACCCCCTTTGGAGACGTCTTACAGCCAGAGGTGGCTGTGTTTCGTGGCTCAGACACATAGTGAGACTGTGCCTGCGTCGTGTCCCGTCCTCGTCTTGTGCCTGCTGTTGTTGAGGGCTGGTGCTCCTGACAGCACAGTGCGGGTTCCTGTGGCATTGCTGCAAATCCTTTTGCCAGCAGGGCACGGGCCTCCGGGTCTGTGCCTGCTGAGGGGAGACTGTGCCCTGACATGGAGACAGAACATCTTTTAAATTTTTGTACATTGACTGAACTGTAAGGCAGACGGAAAAGTGCAAGAATCCTAGGTCCATGGCCCCGTGCATTTGACACAGTGAGTGCCTAGGACCCAGCATCCAGATCAAGCACCCAGAGCTGGTGTGCCTCCCCCACCACTGTGCCCTCCGTCCTCCGCAAAGATGACCCTCGCCTGCATCTCTCTGCGGGGTCAGACCACATGTCCGCTCCGGTGCCTGGCTCTGTCTGCATCAGACCATGAGGTCCTGTCATCGCCGCTGTAGCGGTGGCCATTCTGCTTCTTACTGCACGAGGCTCCACCGTTTACCTGAAGGCTTCCATTCCGTGTGCCTTCTGCTGCTGGTGGGCATTTGAGCTGCTCCCAGCCTGGGGCTGGTATGAATGTACCAGGAAGTGGAGATGGGTTACAGCACCCAGTCTGTTCAAGTCATAGTTTTAAACGCTGGCATCTGTTACATGCTGGTTCCCTGGGCCGCACCTGGCTCACTTGCCCTGGGCCCTGAGCTCCCAGCAGAAGTCCCTGCTGCTGTCCCCGAGAGTCCTGTGACCGGGAGCCCGCCGTGGTTGTCCAGGGTGGCTGCAGGACCCCAGACCACCAGCTCTCCTGGCCTCCAGGCTGGACTCCTGACCTCTCGTTCTCGGATCGGCACGTGGGCGCTCGGCGGGGCCCCAGCCCTCGACTCCTGCTCCTCCAGCCCTTGTAGACAGAGCTCCCCTACCTCCCTCTGCAGCACCTCCTCTTCCTGGCCCGGCTCCACTTGGAGAACTCCTGTGCATCCTCCCGAGCATCCTCCCGGCAGAGGGGACTGTCCCCTCCATTTGCGTCTCCCTTTCCAGGATGGCAGCAGTGGGAGGAAGGGCTTGAGGTGCATCCCAGTTGTGCATGGTGCCCAGCTCTGGCACTTGGCAGCTGTGTGGCCACACACGTTGCATGGACCACAGCTCGCACTTCCCAGGGACACTACGTGTGCAGGCTGTCAGCGGCGCTTGACGCCACTTACTTAGCGCTCCCCACGACCTCATGGGGTGGACCCTATTGTTACCCCCATACCAGGGGTAGGGGAAACTGAGGCACAGAATAATGGGAAGTAAGGGGCAGTCTGGGACGTGAGCCCTGGCCCCTAGCCCCTCTGCTCCGTCTCTCCCCCAGGTCCCCGAGGAACTTGCACTGCTGTGTGGCGTGCAGACAGGCTCACTCACAGGGTGCAGGGGCTTTTATTGTTCGGGGGTCATGAGACAGAGCCTGAGACAGGCACGGCCCCTGCCCAGGGACTGGGTCACAACGCGTGTCGCAGGGCAACCCCTCGCCTCCCGCCTGGCGGGTGGGGGAGTGGCCCACAGCAGGCAGCCCTCTTGTGTTCCCCTGGGAGCCTGAGACCCTGCTGACATGGCTCTCTCTCCCCCAGGGCTGGCTGCTGGGGGAATGGACACCCTGGAGGAGGTGATTTGGGCCAATGGGAGCACAGCACTGCCCCCGCCCCTGGCACCCAACATCACCGTGCCACATCGCTGTCTGCTGCTGCTCTATGAGGACATCGGCACCTCTCGGTGAGGCAGCCGCAGCCTGTTGGGCAGGCTGGCTGTGTGTGAGTAGGTTTTCCCGGTGTGTGGGTGTGTGTGTGTATGAGAGACAGGTGGGGTGGGGTGCAGACACAACCTTACCAGTGAGCTGGTTTCTTTACTTGTCTACTAGGGTCCGGTACTGGGACCTCTTGCTGCTCATCCCCAATGTGCTCTTCTTCATCTTCCTGCTCTGGAAACTTCCATTTGCTCGGGCCAGGATCTGTGTCACCTCCAGCCCCATTTTTATCACCTTCTATATTCTGGTGAGTTCACTCCAATTGGTGATAGAAAACCCAACTCCAAACCCAAGCAAAAAAGGGAATTATTAACTACGTCTGTAATAAAAAAACCAGCTTGAGGTATGGCTGGATCCAGGGAATTAACCAGCGTCATCAGGACTCTGTCTCTCTTTGCATCTCTGTTCCCTCTGGCCTTATCTCAGATGAGGTGGCCCCATATGGTGTCACAGATAGCCAAGAAGAGCTTTGAGCTAACATCCTGCCTCCCTGCCAACTCTAGCCAAAGAGTCCCTCTTTCCTGATGGTGCCAGTGTAGACCTGGAATTCCCTCTGATTGGCCCACCTTGGATCCTGTGTTCATTCCTGAGCTAGTCACTGTGACTAGCAGGGAAAGGGGCAGTTTGGAGCTGGGAAGGTGGAGTCAGCGCAGCCAGACTATATGGACTGAGGAGGGTGGTGGTCCCTGGAAGAAAACTGGGCCACCTTTACTAGAGGGAAAGGGAATGGATGTTGGGTGGGGAAGCGTGCCCACTGCAGCCTCCATCCATCCATCTGTCCATCTGTCCTTCCTTCCACACATTCTGCCAGACCTCTTTGGAGCAGCATTCTTGTCTGTTGGGAGCCCCTGCATTCTCGTCACGCAGTGGTCCTGGTGGGTGTTGCCTGGGGAAAGGTCGCGGGGCTGTGGGTGAGAAGGCAGCCCCAGGGCCAGGCTCCAGGGGCACGCTGTCTGGCTTCCTTCCTTCAGGGCTCAGGCCTGACTGACTGGAGTCCTCCCCTCTCTGCTTCTTAACTACCTGAGAGCTGAGTGGCCCCCTGGTCCCCCTCTTGTGGCCTGGCTCAGCACTTCCCTGTTAGAGGAGTGGGCAGTGGGCAGGCGGAGAGGCAAGGGAGGCCATGGGGAACCCCGGAGACCGTTGGAGGCCCCAGGGGCTGCTGGCCAACTGGAGCCTGCTCCCCTGTGAGGCGGAGATGGGCAGAGGTGGGGATCGAGGCCGCCTTTCTTCTCTGCTCTCTCTGCTCCTCTGACCATTTACTTGTTGGTGTATTTATTCAGCAGATATTAAGTACCTGCTGTATGTCAGGCAGATGCCCTTTCCGGGGGAGTGGGCAGGGACAAGGGGCCCAGGGCTGATGCCTGAGAGCAGGAGGCAGGGCAGAGACAGCACTGTGTTGCCCTCTGACTCCTGGAGACTTTGTTCTAGAGCTCAGGAGGCAGTGGGAAGAGTGTACTCGGGCAGACCATCTCCGAACCCCAGCTGTGCTGAATGACCTTGGGCTAGTGGCTTGGCCTCTCTGTGCCCCAGTGCCCTCCTACGTGATGTGTTGGATCTGCTTTAGCTTGTGGTGCTCCTGTGAGCACCAAATGAGACAGTGTGCATAGCTCTGGTCCAGTGGGGGCTTGGCATACAGTAGGCACGTGGCAGTGCTGCTTCTGCAGCCTGCCCTGCTGAGTGGTGTCAGCCTCCCCAAGGCTTGGACATGGTTTGCATGGCACTAAGGATGGAGTGTATATGAATCTGGGCTCTTTTGTTTTTATGTGTCAGAAAACCAAACTGAAACTCACTCATAGAAGCTGAAGGGAAGGTACTGAGTGAGAAACTGACAAGCCCCAGGGCTTCAGGCACAGCTGGATTCAGGGGCTCCGTGATGCCATGGGGACTCTGTCTCTGCCTCCCTCATCAGCGTCTCTCAGATGGCCCTGTCTCTCGCAGTCTCTGCCCTCATGGCAGCCAGGCGGCCCCAGCAGCTCCAGGCTTGCATCTCCTCAGCTTCCTTTCCCAGCTGTGCTGAATGACCTGGGGCCAGTGGCCTGGTCTTTCTGTGCCCCAGTGCCCTCCGACGTGATGTGTGTTGGGTCTGCTTTAGCTTGTGGCGCTCCTCTGAGCACCAAATGAAACATCAAACGTGAGCACCTGATGTCCTGGGTGTGACTTTCAGTAGACTCCTTTGGGTCCCACCCCCTCCCCAAACCAGGGGAATGGTGTACGCCGAATGGCCAGCCCTGAGTCACAGACCAGCCCCTGAAGCCAGGAGGGGTGGGTCAGCCCCCTGAATCCCGTGAGGGAGGAGACAGCGGGGCGAGGAGTGGGGCTGTGCCAGCAAAGGGGCTGGACCTGGGCTGCCAAAGCCGCAGGCGTGAGCACCGCACCTTTGCAAACCTGCCGGTGCCGCAGCCGTGCTGGGGCCTTCGGCGCCTCTTCCCTGCGGCCTCTTCCCGGTCCCCTCGTCTCGGGATGAAGACCATGAACACGACACTAAGGGCACACGTGTACCTAGCCCTGACCAGGTGCCAGGCATGCTCTGCTACCTTTATTTACCCCTTTGATCTTCCCAACATCCACTGCTGTTTTTACCCCATTTCACAGATGAGGAAACTGAGGCACGGAGGTGCAGCTCCTTGCCTGAGGTCACAGAGGCAGGAAGTAGCAGAGCTGGGATTCGAACCCAGGCAGTCTGGCTGTACTGTGTCACCCTACTAACCATCTGGAGCCTGTCAGTGGAGCCAGGAGGCTGAGGCCCGAGAGGGGAGGGCCAGGTCGAGGTCACCAGCAGTGGAGGGTCTCCCCACCTCCCTGCATCCCGCCCAACTCACTTTGTTTGAATCCCTCCATTCTCGAGGAATCAAAAGCTCCCGTAAACGCTGGGTGTGGGTTTGCGGTCCCTGCCGTTCCCTGAGGTCTTGTCCCCAGCTCCACCGCCCGACCCCTCTCTCACCCACCAGGTGTTCGTGGTGGCGCTGGTGGGCATCGCCCGGGCCGTGGTGTCCATGACGGTCAGCACCTCGGATGCTGCGACTGTTGCTGATAAGGTGTGGCTGGGCCAGCCGACGAGGGGGTGGGTGCCGGGTGCTGGGCAGACGGGCGCCTGGGCCCTAGGCTGACGCTGTGCCCGCTCTGTGTCCAGATCCTGTGGGAGATTACCCGCTTCTTCCTGTTGGCCATCGAGCTGAGCGTGGTCATCCTGGGCCTTGCCTTTGGTGCGTGTGCTGCTGGGGCCAACGCTCTCCCTGCCCCTCCTTGGCGGGGGCCGACCCCACCACAGTCACCTGGCTGGCTCCCGCTGACTGACCAGCACCTTTCTTCCAGGTCACCTGGAGAGCAAGTCAAGCATCAAGCGGGTGCTGGCCATCACCACAGTGCTGTCCTTGGCTTACTCTGTCACCCAGGTAAGAGGGGGTGAGGCAGGGCAGCCCTGGGGGCTCCCTGGAGGAGGCAGGGGCCAGTGATGGTTGGGCATCCTCTGCCTCCTGGTCCTGGGTTAGGGTTTGAATGTTTGTCACATGCAGCGTTCCCAAATTTTAAATGCACCTAATGAGTCACCCGGGGTGCCTGTTAACAAGGCAGGGTCCAGGGTCCCCAGATTCTCATGCAATAGGCTGGGGCTGGGAAGGGGGAAAGCCCAGAAGCTGCGGTTTCACACGCAGCCCAGGATGGGAGAGCCCATCCGCAGTCTGCAGAGCCTGCATCCAGAGGCCCCTTTCTCAGATGGACAGGTCTGCCCCTCACCCGGCTCTGCCCCGCGCTCCGCTGGGCCCTTCTGGGTGTTGGAGCTCGGTGGGCCAGGCATGGCAGGAGAGCAGGCTGGGCAGGGAACTCTGAGGGCCGACCGAGGAGGCAGGCTTGGTGTGGTGGAGAGCTTGGGGAGGGGACTTTCCAGGGGGGAGGAGCCTGTGAGACCCTCCCCTGCCCGTGCCTGCAGGGGACGCTGGAGATCCTGTACCCTGACGCCCACCTCTCAGCAGAGGACTTCAACATCTACGGGCACGGGGGCCGCCAGTTCTGGCTGGTCAGCTCCTGCTTCTTCTTCCTGGTGAGGCGGAGGCGGAGGCGGAGGCGGAGGGGGAGGGGGGAGGGGGAGGGGGAGGGGGCGGGGGCGGGAGCGGCGGCGAGCCTCCTCCGAGGCAGGGACCTGCGCCTTGGCCCCGGGCTTCGCTCTGGGCCCGGCGCTCCTCAGCATCCTCCTCAGTCCGCCCTGTCTCCGCAGGTCTACTCTCTGGTGGTCATCCTCCCCAAGACCCCGCTGAAGGAGCGCATCTCCCTGCCTTGTGAGGGGCTCGGGCACAGGGCTGGGTGCAGGGTGGGGTCTGTTGGGGCTGCTGTGGCCGGGAACTGGAGAACCCTGGGTGGGAGGGAGGGGCCCCCCAGAGGGGTCCAGGTGACGCACTGGGGATGAAGGGTGGAGGCGCGCGGGGAGGACCTCACGCCCCCCTGACCCCCCAGCGCGGAGGAGCTTCTACGTGTATGCGGGCATCCTGGCGCTGCTCAACCTGCTGCAGGGGCTGGGGAGCGCGCTGCTCTGCGCCAACATCATCGAGGGGCTCTGGTACGCGGGGTGGGGCCGGGCCGGGCACTGGGTGTCGCCGCCTGCTGGGCAGGCGCGGGGCTGGCGTGTTGGGGCGGGGAGGGGGAGGCCAAGCCGAGACCGCGCCCCAACGTGCCCTCCCTCCCCTTCTCCAGCTGTGTCGATGCCACCACGTTCCTCTACTTCAGCTTCTTCGCACCCCTCATCTACGTGGCCTTCCTCCGGGGCTTCTTCGGGTGAGTCTCACCCCGGGCACTTGTGGCAGGGGGGTCGCAGCTGGGCTCTGGGCCGCCCCCCCTCATGCCTCGGTGCCGGTGATGCAGTTAGCCCCGCGCCCTCTGCTTCCTGCGCATGCGCGTTCGCGTGCCCCGGGGCGCCTGGGCGCTCCTGGTGCCGGCTTGGATGCCAGGACAGAGGGGACGGCTTACGCATACATATCATAGTCATATACACACGCATATACATATTTGTAGACACACAACATACATGTGCACAGTATATACATACACATATCTACACGTATGCATGCATATACAGACGTGTAACACACACATTTAGCATATGCATACATATATACACTATATACATAACACAGAGACATACATGCTTTCCCCACCAGAGAGAGTGGCTGTGCACATTGCTCTGCACTTTCTGTTTTTCATTGAAGGATAGATTAGTTCATTCAGTCAGCAAGCATTTATTGAGCACCTACTGTGTGCCAGGCACTGTGTAGCCACAGACCCAACAGGGCACAGAGTAGACACAAACCTTGCATTGGGAGTGTGTATTGTGGTGGGGGTACCTGGGGCAGGAGCAGGCTTGGGGGAGGTCCAGTGTGTATTTGAGCGTTGGGTGGGGGGCACTTGTGCAACTGTGTGTTGAAGGCGTGTCAGGGAGATGGGATCTAAGGACATGTGGGGCTGGGGTTGGTCCCCGGCCTCAGCCGTGGCGGAAGCACGGGCATTTTGCCCCACCCCAGCCCTCCTGCCCCACCTGCAGGTCTGAGGGAGGGTGGGGATCTGCCTCCTGCAGGGGGAGCTGGGACAGGGGCAGAGGTGGAGTGGGAGGGGCTCCATTGGATCCCTGCCCTGATCTGATTTATCTCCCTGGCCTCAGGCTTCTTTTTGTCAACTGGGTGCAATGCTTCCCTCCCAGAGAGTTCTCCTGAGGACGCAGGGGCTGGGTAGGCACACAGCGGGTAGTAGTAAGTGGGGTGGAGGTCACGGCCCACGTTTGCTGAGCACCTTGGGCCAGGTCCTCGCTGAGCCTCAGAAGTGACCTCTGTTCGCCTTGCTCAGGGAGCCGGCTGAGCTGGGAGCGCTGCGCTGTGCTCTGAGAGAGCAGGCGCTCTAGAGTCCAGCACTGGGGACCTTACGGGCGGTGTTAGGCAGCCGTTGGCGCGTTTCCTCCCGCGTCTCACCACGTGCTGCCCAGGAGGGAAGGCTTTCGTGACTTACTCAGTGCGGCTCCCCTGGCCCTCTGTTCTCCCAACTAGCTCGGAGCCCAAGATCCTCTTCTCCTACAAATGCCAAGTGGACGAGACAGAGGAGCCGGACATGCACCTGCCCCAGCCCTATGCTGTGGCCCGGCGGGAGGGCCTGGAGGCAGCAGGGGCTGCCAGCACACAGTTCGATTCGGCCAGTGGGGTGGCCTACCTGGACGACATTGCCTCCATGCCCTGCCACACCGGCAGCATCAACAGTACGGACAGCGAGCGTTGGAAGGCCATCAGTGCCTGAGTGCGGCCACCCTGGCTGGAAGGCCTGCCGGCCCTGTGGAGGGCAGACAGAGAGAAGGCCAGGGAACACAGAGTGCCCAGGGGAGGAGAATGAGTGACAGGACTTGTGTGGGCAGCAGGCCTGTCCTGCTCTCCAGGCCCCCAGCTGCCCTCTGCCACCTCTGCCCCGGCTGGGGGCAGCCTACCCCTTCTGCCCTGCTCAGCGGCATGGCCCAGGCTCGATTGCTCAGGGCCATGCCTGGCTGGCCGAGGCCACTTCCTTTCTTGAAAACCTGGCCACCCAGGACAGGTCTGGCCCTCCTCAGCCTTCTGCCCCCTCCCCTTGGTGCAATGGCCTCTGCAAAGCCCTCTCTGGCGGGTGGGCTGAAGTGTGTATATTTTCGTGATCTATTTTTTAATAAAAAGGAAAAGAAGCAGAAGGTGTCAGTGTGGAGGTTCTGCAGGAATACTGGGGCAGGTTCCTCTCAGGAGCCCAAGGACCGGGGTGAGGAGCTGTGACATGCAGAGGGCTGGTGGGTCCCTCTGTGGCCTGCAGCCTGGGAGCTCAGGGCACTTACACTGCTCAACTGAGGGACGTGGGCCAGTGCGCAGGCCCTGCCTGGCTGCTGGGGAAGCCATCGCTGCCCCGGGGCCCCTGTTGGAGTGGAGGAGATGGACATGGAAGGAGAAGCGTGGTCTCCTCACCTGCGGGTCCCTTCCCTTCTCCGCTCCTGATCCTGTCATCGTGGGCAGCCGCTTCCCCTCCCGAAGCTCCAGAGTCGCCATCTGTCAAGTGGGGATGAGAAGGCCTGTCTCGCAGGGATCTGTAAGGACAAGGAAAGGGGGGTGCCGCGGTCAGGGCTGGTGCCGCCTCCCCTCCAGCCCTCTTTCTCGGAGGGCACCAAGGCACCAGCACCAACAGCTTGTGGCTGTGGGGCCAACGTGCCAGGCTCCCTGGGACCCGGGCCCAGAGGGCTGTCTGCAGGCACAGCTGTCGAGGGCAAAGACACTGCCAGCGAGCTGGACTCGCTTGAGGGGACTGCAGCATGCTGGGGGTCCTGGCAAGCTTCTCCCAAGTGGTGCGCTTTGCCATGACTCACGGTATTGGTAGACGCCTGTTAGATGGAAGGAAAGCCCGCAGGGCATCGCGCAGGGCGAGTGTAGAGGGCCAGACTCGATGTCTGCCCCCAAGCTGGCGGACGAGTGCAGCCTAACCTTGGCACCACTGCTGGCCCGGGCGGTCGCTGCGCACCCAGGGCGGGCAGGGCGGTAGCAGAGTGAGGTGAGAGCCTGCTGCTTTCTCTTCGGATTTTAAAGTGTTTTTAAAACAGGTGTTAGGTGTAAATGGCAAAAAGAGAAGTTCATGAAGTGCAGGGCATGTCCAGCGGAAGGCAAGCCTTAGCTACTTCGACGTGCAGTTTCCCGGCCTGCGGCAGTGCCACAAGCACCGTGAGGACCCGCGCACGCGTCACATCCCTGTTTGGGAGCATGCACGCTCCATGGCTTGTGTTCTCCACGTGACGGGTGATCTGGGGACGGTCCACGTTGGGTGGGGGAGCCGCCTCCCTGCCAGCTGCACACGTTATGGATACGTGGCAACTTATCTAACTGGTCCCCTTGGGAGGGACTTTTGTGTTCAATATATTTTGCAACAAACAATGCAGCGACAAAAATCCTTACACATATGCTTTTGGTAACTCACGCAAGTGGAATTGCTGGAGCACACAGTCTTAATTAGTCTTAATTAGTCCCCTGGTCTGTGGGCAGAGACTAATAGCTGTCCTCCAATATATGCTTTCTTTCCCTCCATTGTCAGAGAATCCCGGGGTTTCAGCTGGATACAGCTAATGTAAGGCTACACTTCCCAGCCTTTCTTGCAGGTGGCTCTGGCCATGTGACTAAGTTCTGGCCAATGGGGTGTAAGCGTGCATGCAACTCCCTTACAGAGAGAGGGTAGGCTCTGTTCTGTGCTGCTAATTGGATGTGGTTATAGTGGCTGGAGTTGTAGCAGCAATCTTGAATCACAGGTAATCTTGGGAATGGAAGGTTCTCGTGGCAGTGCAGCAAGCTGGCAGGAACCCATCCCTGACCCTGGTGCCTCCACAATGGCCCTGGACTGCCTGCCTTCAGACTGTTTGAATGTGGGAAAGAAAGAGACACTATCTTGTTTGAACAACTTTGGCGTTTTCTCTTATAGCTGAAGCTAATCTGAACCAACGCACCCTTCAAAGAGGCTGTGTCTGTGTTAGCTCCTAGGAGCACGGCCCCGCCGACGCGGGGTACTGTTCACGTTTGCATCTTCCTGAAAGGCCCTGCTCGCATCTCTTCTGCTAGGATGACTTCTGTGTGCTGTGGCTGGGTGGGAACAGACGCCATGCAAAAGAGAGGGCGGGATGTGGGGCGTTCTGGAAGCGTGTGGCCAGGTTCTAGTCTAACTCCCCACAACTGCTGCTTGTGGGCCGTGGACCTTGGGCAAGGCCACCTCCTCTCTGACCCTGAGTTTCTTCATCGGGGACATGCGGTAGCAGATATCCACTCTTTCCTCCCTTAGCAACTGCACCCTGATGTTTCATGGGTCAGTGAAGCACCCAGATAAAAGGCGGTATTTCCCAGTCTCCAGCATAGCCACTCATGTGACTAAGTTCTGGCCAGTGGGATGTTAGCAGACACAGGAGAGACTTTTTCAGCAGAGGCTGCTGAAAGGGAGCTGACTCAGCTAGGAGATGTGCTCTTCTGTCCTCCTGCCTTTCTGTTTCCTGCTTCCTGGAATGCAGGTGTGATAGCTGACTCCCCAGCAGCCTTGGATGAGGAGGTGAGTTTGGGAAGCTATTCAGCAATGATGGTCAAATATAAAGACAAAGCAATTGCTGTCCCTGATGATGATGGCACCGCTGTACCAGCGTGGGACTGCTCTCGACAGCTTCCTTTACATGAGAGATAAGCCGTCTTGTTTACAGCAAACTCAATCCTAACTGAATTGTAGGGATCATAATATACCCTGAAGGGGTCATTTGAGGGAGACGGGACAATATTTCCAGATACCTATTTTTGTCCTTTCCTTCCTAAACTTCACCCTTCTCCTCCCTCCCTCGACAGTGGGAGTTTCGTCCTGTCCTTGCCCAGGGCAGCCTGCAGCTGGTGGAGCTCTTCCTGCCTTTGTTCTCAAATGCCTCAGACTACAGAGCACAGAAAGGGCTGTGGAAAGAAACAAGTGGGGGTTCCCTTAGGAATGAGGTCTGTGTGGCCTTGAGCACTGGGGACCCAGGCACCCGTGAGGCCAGGCTCCAGGTAAAATGGCACTCTTGTGAGTTTGAGGAGGAAGACTCTGGGTCCAGGGTTCTCACACTGCAAAGGGTCTCCCAGCCCAGGTGTGGCGCCGACACCACGGAGCTCTGAGACCTGAAGGTCCCTGTGGCCAGGAGCGCTGGGCTGTCAGTGCTAATAGTGTGAACACACGACTGGTGGTGTGTGAGTCTGCTCAGGCTGCCAGAACAACATACCACAGACCGGGCTTACACGACAGACATTTATTTTCTCACAGTTTTGGAGGCTAAAAGTCTAAGATCAAGCTGTCAGCAGGGCTGGTTTCTTCCGAGGCCTCTCTCCTCGGCTTGCAGACGGCCGTCGCCTTCCTGTGTCCTCACGTGGTCTTTCTTCTGTGCGTGCACATCCCTGGGGTCTCTCTGTGTCCAAATCTCCTCTCCTTGTAGGGACACCAGTGAGATTGGATTAGGGCCACCCTAATGGCCTCACTTTAACTAAATCACTTTTCTTAAAGGCGCCATCTCCAAATACAGTCACATTCTGCGGTACTGGGTTAGTGCTTCAACAGAAGAATTTGGGGGGACGCAATTCAGCCCATAACAAATCACTCCCCTGATCCTGACACTGTGCAAGCAGGTCCTCGACTAGATCCACAGACCAGGCAGACAACCCCAAGGAGGAGGTTAGATCTCCCACCCACTTAGCAGAACAGGCCAAGTGGGAAACTGAGCAGCGTTCTAGAAGCTCTCTCATGGGTTTGTGGACTGGGAGTCAAGCTCTTGTGTAATGGGGCTCTCTTGGGGGTCGCCCACGCATTCTGCTTCTCCTCCTGCACACGCAGACGGGCTGATTGCCTTCCCTGCCCCTTAGGAAGAGAGGTAAAGCCCTGTGACCTCCTTTGGCTAATGACATGTGCGTAGAAGTGGCACGTGTCACTTGCAGGTCAAAGCGTTTAGCTGCCAGGACACTGCTCTGTGCTGCCACTATAATGGCGGAGGCACGTGTCAAGACAGAGCCTCTGTCAGCCTTGTCCCGAGGGGCCCCCACGAGAAGAGTTCCTCTGCTAAGCTGCACTGAACACGTAGCCAGAACAAGAAAGAAACCTTGTCCTTGCAGCCTCTAAGCTTTGGGGTTGTTTATACTGCAGCACATCCTAGCACATCCTGACCGATACAGGGTTAAGTGAGACAGACCTCTTAGTACATAGGAGATGCTCAGTTAATTTGGTTTCCAACAACCAGGGAAGGCAAGATCTGGACTGGGGGCAACTGACAGCTCTGGGGCCCACAGGGTCATCCCCTCATCTTCTGTGTCCATGGACCTCGTTTGTGGACTTTGTGGATCTTTCTGTCAGCTTCACACAGAAGTTGCCCCCTCCTCTTCATAGCTTCCCTTCCTTACAGACACCGGGGCCAGGCTCCCAACCCAGTGCCTCTCCCTTCAGGTTCCAGCAACCTCACCTCCGCTCTGGGGAGGAGGCCTGTGTGATCCCAGAGGGGCTGATGTCTGGGGTGGCAAAGGCTCCAGCCACTCACACCACTCTCTTCACTGGGGCTTAGTCTCAGACCCCTCACCCCTCCCGAAACCCAATTCTGAGACAGGAAGCCCGTGACGTGGGCTGGCTCTCCTGGGGGATCATGACAGTTGTCTGTCACCCAGGGGGCTGTGACCATGGCGGTTCCTAATACTGTCTACATTCAGGCAGCCTTCTAAACACTCCATGTGGGTTGCACAGTCTCACACATTAAGGCCCCCACTTTACAGATGAGGAAGTTGAGGGACAGAGAGGTCGCATGGCCAAACAGGAGAGAGGGCGGGCTTTGACCCCAGGCCTCCAACCACTGACTCCAGTGCCAAGACTTGTGGAAACATCTCCCGCATAGGAAGAGCTCCACGCCTTGTCTCGGGGGCCACTGGACCAAGGTGGGGAGGCTGCAGCCCCTCCATAGCTGCTCTGGCGGTACAGAGAGAACTCCCAAAGGATTGCCCGGGAGGGGCCACAGAGCCCAGGGGCACTGCCGGCACAGCTGGGGCCGGAATGCACACTGTGGGAGCATGGAGCAGACAGCTGGCTTCCCAGTCGCAGCTCTGCCTTTTTCACATGCGTGACACGGGCAGGGCCTCTGGCTCTCTGTGCCGTGGTTTCCCCACTTGTCATGTGGCACTGATCATGCCT